GATAACGAGCCAAAATCAAGAGTTCAACTGACTGAGCCACCCAGGCATTCCTTTTTTTGTTTTTTAAAGGTTTTTGATTACTGATTCAGTCTCCTTGTTAGTGGCCAATTCAGAATTTTTATTTCTTCATGATTCAGTTTCTGTAGGTTATACTAGAAAGTAAGTTGTCTAGTTTGTTGTTGTGTAAAAGACTGTGTTCTCTTACAGTCCTTTGTATTTCTGTGGTATCATTTGTAATGTCTTCTCTTTCCTTTATAATTTTATTTATTTGGATCTCACTTTTTTCCTTGGTAAGTCTAGCTAAAGGTTTGTCGTTTTTTTTCTTTTCAAAAAACCAACTGTTAGTTTCATTGATCTTTTTTGCTTCCATATTCTTTATTTTGTTTATTTCTGCTCTGATCTTTGTTGTCTCCTTTCTTCTGTTAACTTCGGGTTTAGTTTGTCTTTCTTTTTCTATTTCCTTTATGTGTTAAGTTCTGTTGCTGTTTTGTGATACTTCTTTTTTCTTAATGTAGGTATTTATTGCTAGAAGATTGCTGCTTAGAACTGCTTTTGCTGCATCCCATGTGTTTTATTTCCATTTTTGCTTGTTTCAGGATTTTTAAAAATTTCTTTTTTGACGCATAAGTTGTCCAAGAGTGTATTACTTAAGTTTCCATATGTTGGTGAAATTTCCAGTTTTCCTTCTGTTAATTTCTAGTTTTGGCCATTATGGTCAGAAAGATACTTGGTATGAATTAGCTCTTAAAATTTGCTAATATTTGTTTTGTGATTTATTATGATTTATCCCAGAGAATGTTCTTTGTGCACTTGACAGGAATGTCTGTTATGCTGCTCTTTGAGGAATTATTCTGTGTATGTCTAAATCTTGATCTAAAGTGTCGTTCAATTCTAATGTTTTCTTACTGATTTTTTGTCTTAACGATTTATCCATTGTTGAAAATGGGGTGCTGAAGTCTGCTGGTTTTTTGGTCTGTTTCTCCCTTTAGATCTGATATAGTAATTTTTAAAAATGTTTAGACATTCTAGTAGAAATCTAGTGATATCATGTTTTAATTTTATGTCCTAATTTGTCATATTTGTCTGTATCTCACAAACTTCCTAAACTCACTTATTAGTTCCAGTACTTACATTGTCTCTTTAGTTTTCTGAAAACTTGGTACAGTATTGTCATTATTTATTTGCTCTTAAATGTTTGGCAGAATTCACCAGAAAATTCTATCTGTAATCTCTTAATAAAAAAAGACTATATTTTGAGTGAATTTGGGTTAGTATATGTGTTTCAAGGATTTTGTCAATTTGATTTATGTTGCATTAATGTCATAAAGTTGACCATAGTATTCCCTTAATGTTTAGGTATGTATGTAGTTAGTGATGAATGTCAGCTTTCTCATTGCTCGTATTGATAATATGTTACCCTGTCCCCCTTTTTTTCTTGATCAGTCTGATAACATGTTCATTAATTTTATTTGTGTTTTCAAAGAATCAGCTTTTAGTGTTTTTGTGTATGTATGTATTGTTTTGTTTCTGTTTTCTGTGGTTTCATTGATTCCTGCTCTGATATTCATTATTTACAGTCTTATGCTGACTTTGGGTTTCACTTGTTCTCTTTATAATTTTTTTAATAGAAGTTGAGGTTACTGATAGGATACCTTTATCTTTTCTAACATAGGTATTTTAGTGTTTTAAGTTTACTTTCAAGTACAGAGTTAGCTGCAACCCACAAAATGAGATATGTTGTGCTTTTGTTTTCATTCAGTTCAAAATACCTTCTAGCTTATTAGGTAATTTCTTTTTTGAGCATCTGTTATTTAGTAGTTTCCAAATATTCCTTTGTGTTAATGATTTTCATTTAGTTCCATTTGGGTCAGAAAACATATTCTGTATTAGCTGAAATCTTTTAAAAATATTGAGATTGTTTTATGGACCATAAGTATTTTCTATATTGGTAAATAGTTTTTTGTGTACTTAAGAAGATAATGTAGGGGCACCCGGGTGGTTCAGTCACTTGAGTGTCCAACTCTTGATTTCGGCTCAGGTCATGATCTCAGGGTCATGGGATCGAGCCCCATGTCAGGCTGCATGCTGAGCATGAAGCCTACTCAGAATTCTCTTTCTCTTTCCCTCTGCCCTTCTCCCCTGCTTGCACTCTCTCTCTGTGGCTCTAAAAAAGGGGGGAGGCGGGTGTGTATTCTGTTTTTTAGTTGTTTCAAATGTGATAGTAAATTTGGTTGATGTTACTCTATCTTGATTGAAAGTGGAGTCTGTTTTTAATTTAGATACAGTTCATATACTATACAATTCCCCCATTTTAAGTGTGCAGTTCAGTGTTGTTTTTAGTATGTTCATAAAGTTGTACAGTCCACCACTATCTAATTCCTGTATATTTTCACCATCTGAAAAAGAACGTGCATAGCAGTTATCATTCACTCACATTCCTCCTCCACCTAGCTGTTGGCAATCACTAATCTACTCTCTGTCTCTACAGATAGGCCTGTCCTAGAATTTCAGAATAAATGGAATCACATAATATGTGACTTTCAGACTGGCTTCCGTCACTCAGCACAATGTCTTCAGAGTGTGTCCATGTTGCAGCATGTATCAGTGCCTTATTGCTGCTGCATCCTTGTACGGGTGTTTTATTAGGAGCAAATGGATAGTGACATTTTGTTTAGCCATTCATTCATAAATGTTGGGGTTACTTCCCCGTTTGGCTCCCAGGAGCAGTGCAGCTATGGATTTTTGTGTACATGTTTTTATTTGGTCCACATTTTCAGTTTTCTTGGATTTATCTCTTGTGGAATTGCTGGGCCATAGGGTAACTGTTTCAGTTTTTGAGGAACTGCCAACTTGCTTAAATAGCACAGTTTTGCATTCCTACAGCAATGTATAAGGATTCCAGTTTCTTGACATCTAGCTAGCAATTATTATTTTTTGTCATTTAAAAATTTTTTTATTATAGCTGTCCTTCTGGGCAGTAAGTGGTAATTGATTTTGGTTTTAATTTTCATAAAGATTGATACCTTTGTTTCCTTCTAAGTTTTATAGTTTGGGCTTTTACATTTAGATTTTTTTATCATTTGCAGTTAATTTCTGTATGTGGTATTCCTTTCCTTGTGTATATCCAGTTGTCTCAGCACTGTTTGTTGAAAAAATATTCTTCCTCCATTGAACGGTCCTGGATCTTGTCAAAAATTACTTGGCCATAATATACGGGTTTATTTCTGGACTCTCAATTCCATTCCATTGATTTAAGTTTGTGATCATGACAGTACCACACAGCCTTGATTACTATAGCTCTGAGTAAGTTCTTTTAATTTTTTTTAGGTGGCCTCGTTTCATGTTTCTGGGTACAAAATGAACCAATTAAAATAAATTTAAACAATAAAATTTCTTATTTCTTTCTTTATTTTTATGAGGTAGAATTGACATACAATATTGTATTAGTTTTGGGTATACAGCATAGTGATTGGACAATTCTGTACAAGACTTCAGTGTTTACCATGATCGTATAGTTACCATCTGTCACCATATAACAGTATTACAATATTATTGACTATAGTCCCTGTGCCTTACTTTTTTTACTTTTCATCTCTTTGACTTATTTATTTTAGAACTGAAAGCTTGTACCTCTTAATCCCCTTCATCTATTTTGCCCATTTCCCTGGCCCATCCCCTCTGGCAGCCACTAGTTCTCTGTATTTATGATTCTGTTTGGTTTTTGTTTGTTTTGTTTTTTAGATTCCCTATATTAAGTGAAATATGGCACTCATCTTTTTTTTATTTTTAATGTTTTTTAAAATTTATTTCTGAGAGAGAGAGAGACAGCATGAGCAGGGGCGGGTCAGAGAGAGAGAGAGAGACAGAATCTGAAGCAGGCTCCAGGCTCTGAGCTGTCAGCATAGAGTCCGACATGGGGCTTGAACCCACGAACTATGAGATCATGACCTGAACCGAAGTCAGACGCTTAACTGACTTGAGCCACCCAGGTGCCCCAGCACTCATCTTTAAGATGTATGACTTATTTCACTTAGCTTAATATCCTCTAGGTCCATCCATGGTGTTACAGATGTCAAAATCTCATTCTTTTTATGGCAAAGTAATGTTCCGTTGTATATATATACTACATCTTTATCCATTCATCTATCAATGGACTCTGGGCTGCTGCTTCCGTATCTTGGCTCTTGTAAATAACGCAGTAAACATAGGGGTGTGCGTACTTTTTGAGTTAGTGTTTTTGTTTTCCTTGGGCAAATGCCCGGTAGTAGAATTACTGGATCATATGGTAATTCAATTTTTAATTTTTTGAGGAAACTCTGTACTGTTTTCCACAATGGCTGCACCAGTTTATGTTCCCACCAATAGTGCATGAGGGTTCTCTGTTCTCTGAGTCCTTGCTGACCATTGTTATTTCTTGTCTTTTTGATACTACTCTTAGTGAGATTTTCCTTTTATAGGGCGTACACATGTACAGGTCCCGTTTTGTGTCCTCACCATTTAGAGATGGCATCTCTGTGGGACTCACGTGACTCTCCTTACACTACCGTTCAGCAGCATTGATAACAGCTGCTTGTAGAGTTGTTAGTGAAACAACTTGTATGGGGGGGGGGGGGACAGTGTTCCAGTAAAGAAGAATGTGTCCCCACTTCTCTGTCAGGACCAAGAGCTCATACAGTGTAGAGTAAAAGGAGCAGCTACCAGTCAGTCTGGTTATTCCGATGCCTTTGAAAGCCCACCTTGAAAAAATGTCCCCCCAAAACAAGAGAGAGAGAGAGAGAGAGAGCAAAAGGGCTAGTTTTAAAGACTCAGTCATTTTACTGTGAATTTACAGAATGTTGTATTTGCTAAATGGCTGTATTTTCAGTAGGTAAACTGGTAAATACTTACCATAGACACAACTTTATTAGTGATAATAAATTTTGAACCATCAATTAGCTGAAAGATGGCATACTTGTTTTTATGTTTAGTGTGCTTAAATTTATATTTTGCTTTCTTTTTAGGTTAATACAATCTGTTGGAATGAGACTGGAGAATATATTTTATCTGGCTCAGATGACACCAAGTTAGTGATTAGTAATCCTTACAGCAGAAAGGTAAAGTGGTTTAAAAAATCTATCATTTCATGAGAAAAATTAGGAAGCTAAAAATTAAGAAACTGTATATAATTATGGAATGGTCGTTTGTAATATCCTTCTTATTTTGCTAACGTTAGTTATATAATTTGGAAGTTATTACATGCATATCCCTCAGTCTCCTTAGGAAAACCTTAGATTTCACTCAGCATTGACTCCAGCAAATTTGAATATGGTTCACTTTATCCACTTGGGTAAAATTGCCAAAAGTAACATTATTTCAGTAAACCATTCTTTTGAGGGCAGTCAATGTGATTTTTTTTTTTCTTTCATGCTCACAAAATCTTCCCTTCAGCCAAGTGATTAAGAAACAGTATATTATTGGTGTGTCTGGGTGGCTCAGTCCGTTAAGCGTCCAACTTCAGCTCAGGTCATGATCTCACAGTTTATGAAACCGTGCCGGGCTCTATTTGCAAGATAGAGCCTAGAGCCTTCTTCGGATTCTGTGTCTCCCTCTCTCTCTCTGACCCTCCCCTGCTCACACTGTCTCTCTCTCAGAAATAAATAAAAACATTAAAAAAATAAATAGTATATTATCAGTTTGCAAAAACAATGTTGAGGTTCTAGCGAAATGCTTCGTGATATCTAATAACGCAAACTGGCTTATCATATTGAGTTTTAGGATTATTTCTCATTTTTAGTGGCCCTTCTCTATATATGAAGAAATCCATCATTTCTTGGCCTTTTGGCTAAGATCAAGTGTATATATGAAGAAACCCATACACCTATTTTTGTATCAGATTGTCAGACCAAATTCTCATTTAAAATAGTAGCAACCTTACAGAATGAATTATTCAAATATTTTTTATTTTTCCACATTTAAACAGTTAAGATATTCTAATAAATGTTTGTGGTCCTTCAGTCTGAATGAAGTTCATATTGAAGATATCCTTGATTAAAAGACAGGTTATAATTTTATTTCAGGAATAGCTTTACTAAATTGTCCTGACTTAGCAGAGGGAAGCTTGATGTTTTCAATCCTGCTCCTTTAGGTCTGCAGTTAGTAGGTCTTTTAAGGTGCCTGGATCCAGTTGCCGTGTGGAGCTTGGGGCCTGGCTCAATGGCATGTGGAAGCATTCTGATCTCCCAAATGTGGAGGCTGTCTGCGTAATGTCAGAAAGCTGTCTTTTTGGATTTCTGTGGAGGCCTCATTACATAGTCCATAGTCCTAATTGACTGTCATTAGGCATTAGTCACTGACTGATTCACCCTCCAGCCCCTCTCCACTTCCAAGTTGCAACTCTGATCTTACAATGGTTCCTTCTTGCAACCCGTCCTCGCCCTTTGGTGGATTCCAAAAGTCAACGTCCATTAATAACAAGACACCTGTGTCACCTTTATGTCTCTGAGGCATTGTCATAAACCATTAATAACAAAATACCCATGTCACCTCTATGTCTCTGAAGCATTTTCAAAAAACCATTGAGCAAGACCAGATATATCAGAAAAATAGATTTTGGTCATCTGAATGACCAAAGGTTTATTTATTTATTTTTTTAAATGTTTCTTATTTTGAGAGAGAGAGAGCAGGGGAGGGACAGAGAGACCGAGAATCCCAAGCATGCTCTGTGCTGTGAGTGGAGGGCCCAACACAGGGCTCCCTCCTATGAACTGTGAGATCACGACCTGCGCTGAAATCAGGAATCAGTTGCTTAACCAACTGAGCCACTCAAGCACCCTCGAAGGTATATTGTTTATAAATCATTACATTGTACTAGGACAACCTTTTTGTTACAATAGAGGAAATTTCCTGGAATGATGTATGTTTGGAATGCTCTTTGACCATCACCCTCAGAATTTTAACGTTAACAGTACTCCTAGCAGTTGTTCTGGACGCCAGTGGAATAATAATCTTTTTGTTTTTGAAAAGATGCAGAACTTCACTTTTTTAAAATTGTAGTAAAACACACAGCACGTAAAATTAACTATCTTAATCATCTTTAATATTTCTGCTCAGTGACGTTAAGTATATTTACATTGTTGATACTGTCACCACATCTAGCTACAGAACTATTTTCATCTTGTAGAGCGGAAGCTCTGACCCCATTAAACAACAACTTTTTCTTCTCTCCCTCCAGCCCTTGGCAACCATCATTCTACTTTTTGTTTCTATGAATTTGACCACTCTAGATACCTCATATAAGTGTTTATATGATGTTTGTCTTTTTGATACTGCCTTTTTCACTTAGCATGATGTCTTTAATGTTCAAACATGTTCCACCATGTGTCAAGATTTTCTTTTTTAAGCGTGAACATTCTCTTGTATGTACATACCACATTTTGTTTATGCATTCATCTTTCAGTGGATACTTGAGTTACTTCTACCATTTTGATATTGTGAACCATGGTCCTATGAACATAGGTGTACACCATTCTCTCCAAGTCCTTACTTTCAATTATTTTCTGACTATACTCAATGGAATCATTTTTAGAAGATCTTGTTTATTCTTCATTTGCTCATTTTTGGCTTAACTGACTGAGCCACCCAGGCGCCCCAATTTGCTTATTTTTGGAAAAAGGACAGTCACTTTGATGGCGTGGTTCCCAAAAGAATATATATATTTGAAAACTGCTTACTCTTTTTCATTGTCAGTTTAAAAAATGATTAATCAGATAATATTTTTAAAAGTTTAAATATAATAGGACTTTATCTTTTTCATGTAGTGGTCTTAATAGATCCAAATTTGCTTTCATATAGAGATATTTAAATTTTTTTTAAACATAGATGATTAATTATATAGGAAAATAAAGGATTTTAAAATATTTATTTCTTCAGAGAAAGAGAGAGTTCATGAGCAGGGGAGGGGTAGAGAGGGAGAGAGAGAATCCCAAGCAGTGGGGCTCGATCTTGAGAACCATGAGATCCTGGCCTGAGCCGAAATCAAGAGTCAGATGCTTAACTGAATGAGCCACCCAGGCACCCAAAATAACATTTTTTTGGTTCTGAGTCAAATATTATCTGTTCTTAAAGTTTGACTTTATTTTTAGGTTCTGTGAATTCATGGAAAGATTAATGCAAACAAAATTTTGAAATACATTTTTTTTTTTTACAGAGTTAAGAGGTTGGAGGTATTCCTTATTAATGGTAATATCTTGGTTGTATGTGTTGAATGTCTCAAATGTATAAAACAGAGAAGTTTCTTTTTCCAGTAATTATAGTCTGGTTTACTTGAACCAATCCTCCCACTGAAAAAACTAAAATATTCTTGATTAAAGACTTTAGGGGCGCCTAGATGGCTTAAACGGTTAAGCGTCTGACTTCGGCTCAGGTCATGATCCCATGGTTCATGGGTTTGAGCCCCTCATCACGCTCTGTGCTGACAGCTAGCTCAGAGCCTGGAGCCTGCTTCAGATTCTGTGTCTCCCTCTCTCTCTGACCCTCCCCTGCTCACACTGTCTCTCTCACTCTCTCAGAAATAAATAAAACATTAAAAAAAAATTTTAAAAAGACTTTACAAATTATCCTAAAGAAAAAAAAAACTGTCTGAAAGTAACAAATAACTGCCTTGATAGTAAGGGATTATCAGTCCAAAGTGTAGGGGAAAAGGTGAATCCAGAGAAGTGAGCATGAAAGCCATTTCTCCCTGAAGATATTTGTTGATCCAAGCATATATAAACTTTAATCTTGATGGCCTTGAAGGTCAAGGTAGACAGAAACAAAGCTTAGGACCCAAATCAAGTATGGATTTCTATAGCAGACTCTCCACAGTATGCCAGCACACCCCTCCCCCCACAGCTCAAAAACGATGGCCTTGTGACATCTAATATAAAAGAAATCCTAGGTGTACTGTGTATGCAGAATTTTTCCTGACTTGGCCTCAGCCAGCTCCCTGGGTGGCTCAGTCGGTTAAGTGTCTGACTTCAGCTCAGGTTATGATCTTTCAGTTCGTGAGTTTGAGCCCCACATCAGTCTCTCTGCTGTCAGCGCAGAGCCCACTTCAGATCCTCTGCCATCCCCTCCCTCTGCCCCTCCCCTGCTTGTTCTCTCTCTCAAAAGTAAATAAACATTAAAAAAAAGATAATAAAATAAATTAAAAAATAAATCTCGATCACTTTAATAAAATCCCATCTTGATTTATGAACAATATGTGATATGTCAGTACACGTATTAGTGTATCTGGTGCTTTTGTTTCTGAAGCTATGCATAAACCTGTTAAAAGGAGATAAATCATGAATTGTTAAGAATGATGTCTGCTGAATGTGACTGAAGCAAAGCCAAAAGCTATCAGATGAAGAAGAAACCAATACAAACACAGTACATAGTGACTTTTATACAGTTAGCTACATAGTAAGCCAGGCTAAAATACCTGACCGAGTTAAAGGCCGTGATACCTGTCTTGTGTAAAAGATTTACATTAATTATTTTCTCTGTTATTTTTTATACCTTAATGTATCAGATCTTAGTATCTTACACTTGGAGAGAGGAATGAAAGATTTTAAAACACTTAACAGACAAATTTTATTCTCCATTGGCTTTAGTTGACACAGGTGCAAAAGACACCCCCCCCTTTTTTTTTTTTATTTAATCTTAAATATATGTACATTATATATGTAAGATTTACTGTGTCATAATTTATGGTTTTCAGTAAATTCTTATTTTGGCCATACCTTATAACCTAGGTCTTAAATAAAATGAGGTGATGTAAATATTTAAATTTGTCAAAGTAAATAGCTGCTAGTATCTATTACAGATTTATGTTATGATTTGATGTGATACTCTCTGTTAAGAATTTGACAGTTAGTGTTACACAGTAAATACTTAAAACCAAACCCAAAATAAAGTTAAAATATATTTTCGTAACTTTGTTTTAAAATTTTAAAATATAAGGGAAAATTGAAAAAAATAACAATGAACATCCACAAATAGATTTTTTTAAAGCATTTGAGCATAAGTTGGAGGCATCATGATCTTCATGAATACTTTTAGTATAAATCTAAGAACAAGAACACTATCCTATTTTTTTTATGTATACCAAAGAGATCAAACAAGGCCACACTCTAGCTTACTTCAGCTCTCATACTATAAACATATTATGTCCTTTTCATGATATATTTTGTGTCATGTTTTGCATTCTTATGCTTTTTACTTATGATTACACTATTTTTTTAAGTTTTTTTTTTTGAGAGAGAGAGGAAGAGAGTGCATGCGTGCACACCATAAGCAAGAGGGGCAGAGAGAGAGGGAGACACAGAATCCAAAGCAGAGAATCTGAAGCAGGCTCCAGACTCTGTCAGCACAGAGCCCCGACTTGGGACTTGAACTCACTAACCATGAGCTAAAGTCGAGTGCTTAACCAGCTAGCACATGCAGGCACCCCAATGATAATTTCACTGTTTAAAATCTCCCTAGCCAGGTATCATGCCGAAGTACTGTCTCATGTTTCTAAGCACAAGAACCCTGGGATATTTCTTATGGAGAAAATATGTTTTAAAAAAGCTTCATGTAGGCATGAATTATGTTGTTGGCCAAGAGCTCAGTGCTAATGAATCAACAAAATATAATAAATAAGGTCTTTAAACAGAAACATATAAAACAAGATTGTGTAGGGGTTCATGGGAGGCTGTTATTTAAGTATCTCTTGACTTCGCCTCAGTTCATGATCTCATGGTTCAGGGGATTGAGCCCAACAGAGGGCTCTGTTGATGGCATGGGATTCTCTCTCTCCCTCTTTATGTCTCTGCCCCTCTCGCACTCACATGCCCCCCCCCCGCCACCTGCAATAAACATACATTAAAAAATAAATAAATAAAACAAGACTGTGTATTGATTGAGAAAAATGTTGTGGCCAGAGGCTCATAGGAACCTAATCATGTGTTTCCCTAGGAGCAGTGATTCAGTACTTGTTAATTCAGTATTTGTGCTGACTTTACAAAACATAATTATCAGGAATTATGAGAATTGACTATATGCTATTATATATATGATAGGTATATTATTTTCTGAATTACACATGCATGTATGTGCTCATATGGTCCGTATTCACATTTCCTTATTTTTTTCATCTCATTCTTGGTATTGCCGTCCTCTTTCAACCCAGGCTCCATCTGTCTTTTCATTTTTTTTTTTAAAGATTTTTATTTATTTCTAGGAGAGAGAGAGAAAGATAGCGTGAGCAGGGGAGGGTCAGAGAGAGAGGGAGTCACAGACTGTAACAGGCTCCAGGCTCTGAGCTGGCAGTCAGCACAGAGCCCGACGTGGGGCTCTAACCCACTAACCGCGAGATCATGACCTAAGCGAAAGTCGGACGCTTAACTGACTAAGCCACCCAGGTGCCCCTGTCTTTTCATTTTTAAAATATATTGGGGCGCCTGGGTGGCTCAGTCGGTTAAGCGTCCGACTTCAGCTCAGATCATGATCTCACCATTCATGGGTTCAAGTCCCGCATTGGGCTCTGTGCTGACAGTTCAGAGCCTGGAGCTGCTTCAGATCCTGTATCTCCCTCTCTCTCTGACCCCCTCCTGCTCACACTGTGTCTCTCTCTCTTTCAGAAATAAATAAAACATTAAAAAAAAATAAAATTAAATATATTATCTATTACTGATACAGATTTTTTTTTTTTGTTAGTTTATTCATTTGATAGAGAGCATGTAAGCAGGAGAGGGGCAGAGAGAGACGGAGAAAGAGAATTCCAAGCAGGCTCTTCACTGTCAGAGCAGTGCCCGACATGGGGCTCTAAATCACAAACCATGAGATCATGGCCTGAGTCAAAGTTGGATGCTTAGCCGACTGAGCCACCCAGGTGCCCTGCTGATACACTTTTAGATGCCTGAATGCCCCAGTTTGTTTGATGAGGCATTTAAAGCCAACTTTGTGTCTATGTTTTGACACACTGTTACATTTTTTAATACATTTTTATAAAGCATACCAGATACTCACCTTGTATTAAATTCTCTTGTACTTACGTTGTTGGGATGCACCGTGATTTACTTAACAAGTCTCCTGTGTTTTGCTGTTGTGACCAGCTCAGTAAATAACTTTTTGAAGTTTTTTTTTTTTTTTTTTTTTTTTTTTTTTTTTTTTTTTGTATTGTTGGAGGTGTATCTTAAGGGTGGATCTCTAGAAATGGACTTGTCTGGTCAAAGTGTAAACACATGTATGGTTTTGATAAGTATTGCTCAATTCCTCCCCATTGGTCTTGAACCATGTAGCTCTCCCACCAGAAATGCTGACCAGCCAGGCTGTTGCCCCGTAGGCTTGCTTACACAGTGGTGTCGTCAAACTTGTGAACTTTTGCCAGTCTGAAAAGTGAGAATCAGTTTCTTAGTAGCCTCAGTTTGCATTTTCCTTATGAACAAAGTTGGATGTTTTCTCACATTCTTCAAGGCCGTTCGTGTCTCATTTTGTGAACTATCTATTCGGATTTTTTGTCCATTCAATTAAAAAGACCCAGGTTTTGTTAAGTTTCTTTCTCTCAGTTTTTAAGAACTGTTAGGGGAATTGGTCATATATCTGCAGTGTATGTTGCAAATATTTGAATATTTAAAAATTTATTTCTGTTGGGGCGCCTGGGTGGCTTAGTCGGTTAAGCGTCCGACTTTCGCTTAGGTCATGATCTCGCGGTTCGTGGGTTCGAGGCCCGCATCGGGCTCTGTGCTGACTGCCAGCTCAGAGCCTGGAGCCTGTTTCAGTCTGTGACTCCCTCTCTCTCTGACCCTCCCCTGCTCACGCTGTCTCTCTCTCTCTCTCTCTCCTAGAAATAAATAAAACATTAAAAAATTTTAAAAAAAATTATTTCTGTCAATTTTAGTCTTTAATAATTAAGGAATTAGGTGTTGGGACTTCTGCTGTAGTTTCATCTGCACTGATTCATTAGTTTGACTTCATGATTCATTTCAATTCAGTTTACTTTTATTTCTTTATCCTGAAAGGGAATAGCTGAAAAATTATCTAGTAAACAGACAGTTTCAAAAGTCAGGATGACTTTCTTTCTCCCCACCCCTGTACCCTCTCTCCAGTCCTAAAAGTAACTTGCTGAAATTAGATTATCTGAGAAATACAGGAAAATTTTTTAAAATAATAGAAATCATCTTCTCTTTCTCTCTCTTTCTCTATGTATAATGGTCCATTTTTTATTTACTGAGATTTTGTGAATGAGTCAGCTACACCAAATGGGTGGAAAATTGTATGTTTAATTTTCACAGTAGTATTCCTATTGATGATAATTATTCATATATCTCAGAAAAAAAGAAAACATGAGATTCTAATTTTTTAAAATTATAATTGTTGGGAATCAAATGATAATTTGAAAAAAATTTTTTTAACATTTATTTTTGAGAGAGCGACAGAGTGTAATTGGGGGAGGGGCAGAGAGTGAGGGAGACACAGAAAGGGAAGCAGGCTCCAGGCTCCGAGCTGCCAGCACAGAGCCCGACGCGGGGCTGGAACGCGAACCGTGCGATCATGACCTGAGCCGAAATCAGATGTTTAACCGACTAAGCTACCCAGGCGCCCCTCAGATAATTTTTTTATTGAGATAAGAATGTTAATGAGAATTTATTCCTGGCTAAGATTATATTAAATATGAATGTTTCTTTCTAGGAAGTAGTAAGTTGCCAAGAACCTCTTTCTCTTTGTGTTTTAGGTTTTGACAACAGTTCGTTCAGGACACCGAGCCAATATATTTAGTGCAAAGTTCTTGCCGTGCACAAATGATAAGCAGATTGTTTCCTGCTCTGGGGATGGAGTAATATTCTATACCAATGTTGAGCAAGATGCGGAGACCAACAGACAATGCCAATTTACGTGCCATTATGGAACTACCTATGAGGTATAGTCTTACTGTGGTTGTATATATGTGATATATATGTAACGTGTGCTTTGTTGGAAGCTTGTATATATGTGTAAACTTGTGTATGTATACATTCATGCATATGTAGGCACAGAAACTAGTGACAAACTACCTAGATTGTGGTAAAGTACTTGAGGACGTGTATGTTGACAGACTTGTGAATAAAGAAATAAAATGTAGTAGTAATAGGGTTTGTAAATGCAAACAGATGTCATGCTTACCAGATGTTCCCACGGCAGGAAGAACACGAGGCAAAAGAATCAGATTCCTGGGGCGCCTGGTGGCTCAGTTGGTTAAGCGGCCAACCTCGACTCAGGTCATGAACTCCCAGTTCATGAATTGGAGGCCCGTGTCAGGCTCTGTGCTGACAGCTCAGAGCCTGGAGCTCTTCGGATTCTGTGTCTTCCTCCCTCTCTCTGCTCCTCCCCACCCACTCTCTTGTCTCTCTCAAAAATCGGTAAATTAAAAAAAAAAAGAATCAGATTCCTAAAGGACATTAATAATAAGCTCAAGCCCTCAACTAAATTAAATGAGGTGAAATGAATTTAAGACTCAATTATACCACTTAAGTTGGTTCAGAAAAATTGCTTATTCTACAGAATGCTCTTTTAAAAGTCTTTTTATGTCATTTCTTTGTATCAGAACGTTCACTGTTTCCAGTTACTCGTGTGAACCTGGTATGTCTTTTTCCATGATTTGAATTTCAGTTCTCTGGTAACCTCATGTTTTGATGTGTAATTAGAGAAAGAGTATATAGCTAGATTTGATTTTCTCATCCATTCTCACAATTTTGGCTGCAAACTGGAGAGTTTAGTCAATTTACATTTATTGTGAGTAATGATATATTTGAATCTAGTAATATACTTATTGTTTTCTTTTTTTGCTTTGTTTTTTTAAATTTCCTCTATACATTCCCCCCCCCATCTTTGTTCTTTTGAAATTGCTTGTGGATTTTGTTTTCTGTTTTGTTTCCACTACTTTCATGGAAGATAGACATTCATGTTTTACAGGAATTATCAACGAAGTCTAAAATCACGAATATATTTGCTCTTCTCTGAATAAAGCACCTTAGAACATTGTAATTGGACAAACATCCTTTGTCCAATTTTATATGCTGTTGTTCTGAATTTAGTTATATCTTTTCCCTCATGAATTAAATAATATCACTGTCTTATTGGTTAGTATTTGTTTACTAATACGTTTGGCTTTTCCACCACAGAGTTTCCATGTGGGGTCATTGTGTACATATAACACATTCTTTTTTTTTAATGTTTTATTTATTTCTAGGAGAGAGAGAGAGACAGCGTGAGCAGGGGAGGGTCAGAGAGAGAAGGAGTGACAGACTCTGAAACAGGCNTGCCTCCAGGTTTGGGCAATTATGAATTAAGCTGCTATAAACATTTATGTGCGGGTATCTGTGTGGAGTAACTTTTCAGCTCCTTTGAATAAACAAACACCAAGGGATGCAACCGCTGGATCTTATGTTCTGTTTTGTAAGAAACTTCCCAACTGTCTTCCAGGATGGCTGCACCATCTAGCATTGACAGTAACAACGGATGACAGGTATGGTGCTCCACATCCTCCCCAGCATTCGGTGTTTATTGTCAACCGTTTTGAGTTTCCACCACGCTGACAGGTATATGGTAGTATTTCATGATTGTTTTAATTTACAGTTCTTTTTTTTTTTTTTTAATTTTTTTTAATGTTTTATTTATTTCTAGGAGAGAGAGAGAGAGACAGCGTGAGCAGGGGAGGGTCAGAGAGAGAGAGGGTGTCACAGACTGAAACAGGCTCCAGGCTCTGAGCTGGCAGTCAGCACAGAGCCCGACGCGGGGCTCGAACCCACGAACCGCGAGATCATGACCCAAGCGAAAGTCGGACGCTCAACCGACTAAGCCACCCAGGAGCCCCTTAATTGTGGTTTCTGTATAGTTGATCTGTCTCTCTTCCTTGACTGCTTTTAACTGTATTTTTCTTTGCTGCTTTTTTACCTTTGTTAATGTCACCACAGTGTATTTAGGTTTGGATTTCCTTTTTATTTGTCATAGTTGGAATTTATTGATGTTTTTGGTCTGAGAAACTGGCATCTTAAAAAATGTGGGAAATTTGCAGTCATTAGGTCTTTGGTTATTCTTTACCATTCTCCGTTTTTTTCCTCTGGAATTCTGATTAGATATATGTTGACCTTATTCCATCTGCCATTAAACTTTCAGTTTTTTAATTGAAGTACAAAATACATAGGAAAAGTATATAAATCCTAGGCATATAGTGTGGTAAATTATCATAAAGTAAATCTATGCATGTAACAACTATCTAAGTCAAGAAGTATAAAAACAGTAAGTATCCCAGAAGCCCCCTTATTTTGGTATGTAATAATTTGTGAAATTTAGCCATGTTGGGTACGACTATAATTTGTTCATTTTCATTGCTGTGTGGTCTTCCATTGTGTGAATGTACCATGACTGATCTGTTCTGCTGTTGATGAAAATTTTAAATTTGATTTCCTGTTTGGAGAACATTCCTTTACATGATTTTAAATACATAAATGCATACGCTTCATTGGGTATGTACTTAGAAGTAGACTTACTTGGTCATAGGATATGTATTTGTTTATTTTAATGTTTATTTTTGAGAGAGAGTGCAAATGGGGGAGGGGCAGAGAGCTAGGGGAACAGAAGATCCAAAATAGGCTCCGTACTGACAGCAGAGAGCCTGATGTGGGGCTCAAACTCACAAACTGAGAGATCATGAACTGAGCCGAAGTTGGATGCTTAACCAGCTGAGCCACCCAGGTGACCCCATGTTTCTTTATTTTAGAGATATTACCAAATAATTTTCCAAAATAATCATAACAACTTACATTCCTACCAGTAGCATATATTGTGGTTCATTTTTGCCAACATTTGGTTATTAATCTCTAATTCTAGCAGAGTATCTAATGTCATTTTATGTTTCAGATGCCTTTCCCCATATGATACTGCTGAAGCTGATCATCTCTTCATATGCTGCTAGGTTATTTGGAAATAGTCTTGTCAAGTGCCTCTTCAAATAAATGTCTTTCCAGTTGTTCTATTGGATTTTTCATCTTATTTCATTATGTTTGACTCATCGGAGTTTCTTAACCTCTTTTGCATATGAACCTGCCTTTTCCTACTCTGTGGTTGTATTTTCACTTTCCTAATGGTGTCTTTGTTTTGTTTTGTTTTTGTAAATTGATTTATTCATGACTTACATATAACACCCAGTGCTCATCCCAACAGGTGCCCTCCTTCATGCCCATCACCCATTGTGCTCATCCCCCCACGCCTCCCTAACGGTGTCCTTGGATGAACAAGTGTTTTTAATGTTATCTAACATATTAATTAGTTTTTTCCTTTATTATTAGTTAGTACTTTCTGCAGCCCGGTCAAAATATTTTTTCCTAGCTCAAGATTATGGAAATATTCTTCCATTTTCCCTTTTAAAAGTTTATTGTTCTGCCTTTGTATTAGGTCTTATAATTCACGTGGATTTGATTTTTGTGGCAGTCTGAAGTAGGAGTCAACTTTTTTTCTCCATATGAATTTTTATATTAACATAATTTATTTCTTGAAAACTTAAAGCAGAATCCCAAACAGCATACAAAGAGGCATTCTCTGTAAGGACATTTGGATAATATATATATATACCCATTTGCCAGAGGTATTTTTTGCTGAATATATACACACTGTAGTTGGAATCGATTTTTTTTTTTTAAAACCAAAACTCTATCCATTGAACAATTCTGATATTCCTTCTTCCTCCAGCCCCTGACATCCTCCATTTTACTTTCTGCTTCTGAGTTTATTTTAGCTACTTTGTATAAGCATAATCATGCAGTATTTTGCCCTTTTGTGTCTGGCATGGTGTCTGCAAGACTCAACCATGTCAGTCTATGACAGGATTTCCTCCTTTGTTAGGCTTATTCCTCTCCAGTTGTAAGTGTGTACCATTCAGACCCATTTCAGCATCACTGACATTTGGGCTGCTTCCACCTCTTGGTTGTTGCGAATAATGCTGCAGTGAACATTCCTGTGCAAATGTATCTTTGGGATCTTTTCAGTTTTTTGGATATATATACCCAGAAGTGGGATTGCTGGGTCATATGAGAATTCTACTTTTAATTTTTTAAGGAACTTCTGTACTGTTTTCCTTAGTGGGTGTTGCATTTTACATTCCTAACAATAGCACATACGGGTTCCAGGTTTTCCACATTCTTGTCAACACTTCTCTTTTCTCTTTTTGTCAGGAGTGACCATTTTATTTTTTTTATTTTTAATTTTTTAAATGTTTGTTTATTTTTGAGAGAGACTGTGAGATAGAGTGTGAGCAGGGGAGAAGCAGAGAGAGAGGGAGTCACAGAATCTGAAGCAGGCTCCAGGCTCTGAGCTGTCAGCACAGAGATCGACGTGGGCCTTGAACTCACAAACCGCAAGATCATGACCTGAGCCAAAGCCAACAGACTGAGCCAGTTAGGCAATGTTCCCATTTTTAAATTGGATTGGTTTTTTGTTCTTGTTAGGCTTAAAGGGTTCTCTATTTCAGGTATTAATGCCTTATCAGATAGAGAGTCAACATGTTTTCCCCTTCCATAGATTTTTTTCTTGAAGATAGCTGTTGTAAATGAGCTTGCTTTCCTGTTTTCTTTTCAGATTGCTCGCTGTTAGTGTATAGAAAAAAATGATTTTTGTGTGTTTATTTTCGTGACTTGCATCTTTGCTGTATTCATTAATTCTAATGGTGTTTTGTATTTGGATCTTTAGGGTTTTCTATATCTAAGATCATGTCATCTGCAAACAGTAATAATTTTACCTATTCCTTTCTAATTTTGTTGCCTTTTTTTTTCTTGCCTGATTGCTCTGGCTAGAACTTCAATACTGTATTGAATAGAAGTGATGAGCGTGGGCATTTGTGCCTTCTTCCTGATCTTAGTGAAAAGTTTTGTGTTTCACCATTGAATA